TGCTTTACTTCCAGTGCGTCAGCTGCACAGGGAGTTTCTACGGGCTGGATCAAACGTCATGCAGACCTTCACCTTCTATTGCAGTGATGATAAGTTGGAGAATAGAGGCAACAAGTTGACCTTTACTGTATGTAAACCCAGAGGAACATAAAAACAATTATGGATAGGAAAAAGTGCAGTGTAATCACAGATAAGCGGGCTGGAACAGATGGGTTTTGAGTCTGGCTTTGAATAAGGGGAGAGAGTCAATACTGCGGAGGTCGGGAGGAAGTGAGTTTCAGAGCTGGGGAGCAGAGCCTTCAGCCGCTCTGCTCATGGTGACAAGTCGAGCTGGGGGTACAGTGAGGTGGATTGAGGAGGAGGATCTAAGGGAGCGAGAGGAGGTGGCAATGTGAAGGAGGTCTGACAGATATGGAGGAGCAAGGTTATGGATGGCTTTGAAAGTATAGAGAATGAGTTTACACAACTTCATAGATATGCATATCTATATTAATCATAATCTGTCATTGTTTGCAGGGAACTCAGATCAACGAAGCCGCCTGTGATCTGGCCCGGGAGGTTGCGGATGAGGGAGATGCTCTGGTTGCAGGGGGAGTGTCCCAGACTCCATCCTACCTGAGCTGCAAGACTGATAAGGAGGTGAAAGCAATCTTCAAGAAACAGCTGGATGTGTTCACTAAGAAGAATGTTGACTTCCTCATTGTAGAGGTAAAGATGAAACAGTATACATGATAATGTATAAACATAATGGGTACAAAATCTATCTCCAGTATAATCTTCAGATGTTGGAACAGAACTTTCTGGATTAAAGTTGATGAATTTGGTTTAATTGAGAGCTTTGTCCTGCAGTACTTTGAGCATGTTGAAGAGGCTGTGTGGGCTGTAGAAGTTCTAAAGGAGGCGGGGAAGCCTGTGGCTGCCACCCTTTGCATTGGACCTGAGGGAGACATGCACGGTGTCTCACCTGGAGCCTGTGCCGTCAAGCTTGTCAAAGCCGGTATGTAAAGAGTCTTTATAGTACCCCAAATTAATAATTAGGTTTTATGCTTACATATATACATAGCTTGACTCCTTATTCCTACAGTAGATAGTCCTATTTAAACCAAAAACAGCAGTGCATTTTGTAAAAAAAAAACAGACGTCTTAAATGAAAAAACCAAATGCAGAAAAGCTTACAGTTGCATCTTTTAAAAAAATGCTGTTAAACCATTTATATATAGACACTGTATAAAAAGGCATAATACTTTTAATTATATCTGACAACAAATAAAACCAAACTTTTTGCATTTTCAGGTTAGTTAGGGTTACAACAAATATATGTTTGCTAAATAATGAAAAAGGTAAGATGTTTTATTTTCTTTACTTTTTAAAAGTCAAACTTTTAAATCTACAGACAATATGTCGTTAATAAAGGAGTGGTCCATTGCCTTATTTAATAGAAAAATCCAAATAAATAAACCAAAATGTGTTAAGAACTGTGGACATTTGCAAGCCTGTTTATTCTCAGATACATTGTCCAAATGTATTAATGCTCACATTTATCTGTTCATTAAGAAATGTCCAGCCACAATACTTTTTACAAAGTTATGTGTTCAAGAAATACGTTTTATTTTACTGCAGCATCAAGTAGTTAATCATTTTTCTCTAGGAGAGATATGATCAACTTCATAAAACAGGAATCCTCATTAGTTAAGAGTATTAGGTGAAAATATTCAAGCAAGTCAAGACATGCAACATACATTCTGGAACCTGTTCTGTGAGAAGGAATGAGACAAATTTACAGCAAACTATTATGAGAACCTTGTGTACAAAAGCCAAAAAGGTTTTTGCAAAGTTATAGATTTTAAACTTGGTAGAGTAAAACAATAAAATAAATGTTATCTTTCTTTCTGGTGGCAGGAATAAGGACAATCCTACCCGTCAAAAAAAGAAGAAAACTGTTATCAATTTTAAGTCAGACCATGAGAATTAATAAGTATCATATATATGGAAACAAATAAAAAGTTAAACTAAATGGCTTTCTTTGTATTTCTTGGAAATCTTTTTCTTATTTTTGCATGGGGTTTGTTAAAAAGTTTAAATGTTTTCAAATCCTTAATACATTTTATTACAAAAATAAAAATGGTGCAATGTTGTAACACATTTTGTTCCTAAGAAACATTTTGTATTCAAATATATTAAAAACCTGAAGTATTTTGGTTTTTGCTCAATATCTTGTGACCAGTTCATAGTATTGTTGTGCAGCTGTTTAGTAGAAGGGTTTGTCTCTCCTGTTTGTTGCTTAGGTGCTCAGATTGTGGGAGTCAACTGCCACTTTGACCCCATGACCTGTGTGAAGACTGTAAAAATGATGAAGGAGGGTGTGGAGAAGGCTGGGCTGAAGGCGCACTACATGGTGCAGCCGCTGGCTCTGCACACTCCTGACTGTGACTGTCGGGGATTCATTGATCTGCCAGAGTTCCCCTACGGTAATAAGGCTCTATACTGCATGTAAATTATTAGTTTTAGGTGCCATGTTTATTATTCATATCAAATATGCAACATATTATTTCCAATCCCCTCTCACCATTTCCCCAGTGGTGTGCTGCATCAACAGCACGGTATTTTCTACGGTATTTTTTTAAAACATGTAACCCTTTGTACTTTCAGCTTTAGAGCCCAGGGCCCTGACCCGCTGGGACATGCACAAGTACGCCAGAGAGGCCTACAATGCTGGCATCCGCTTCATTGGAGGCTGCTGTGGATTTGAACCTTATCACATCAGGGCTGTAGCAGAGGAGCTGGCCCAAGAGAGGGGCTTCCTCCCTGCTGCATCAGAGAAACATGGATTGTGGGGTAGTGCTCTGGAGATGCACACCAAACCCTGGGTCAGAGCCAGGTTAGAATCAACTGTTTGTCTTTTATTTGTATGCTATGCCCACATTGTAGCTTCTAAGCACCAGTGAGCCCCAGCTGATTACCTCTGTGTGTTCCAGAGCCCGCCGTGATTACTGGGAGAACCTGAAGCCAGCCACTGGCCGTCCCCATTCTGCATCCATGTCAACCCCAGACGGTTGGGGTTATACCAGGGGCCATGCTGAACTCATGCAGCAGAAAGAGGCCACCTCTAAGGACCAACTCAAACAGTTGTTTGAAATGTCAAAGAAAAAATGAGTGTGTCCCACCTGCAAGCTGAAGACAGTCAAGCAGTTGCTGAAGCCTGTTGGACTTTTCTATATAATTCAAGTAGCACTTTCTAACTTGAGACTGCACTGCTCTGTTGATCTGTTTCTAGGAAGACTGATTTGGATATTCTTTTGTGTTGAAACAGGGACCTATTTGTTTTTCATTATCCTGCAACTGTTGAATAAAATAGCTAAGAAAACACTAATTGGTTGAAGACTCTGGTTTTTTTTTTCAGATTTGGAACAATGTGGACATAGAAATTGAAATACCAGAGTCCAAACAATATGCAGGAAAGGTCAGTTAACAGATAGGGATAGGATAAAGGATGAGCACTCATACCACAGATATTTTTTTTTTTTTTACAAATTCTTCTACAGAGCATTGTCTTAGGTCAATACAGACTCTAGGATAATAAAAAGAAATGTTTGTGTTCTCTGAGGGATGTAAGAAAGGAACACCTTTACTCCTGCTAGCCTGTGTTCTAGCAGCAATTTCTTGACACATATTCCGGTCAGTTAAAGAGTGAAAATGTCTCATAAATACTTCCCATTTGGAATGTGAAAACTGTATCTATCTGTACTGTACATGCATCAGATTAGGGTTGATCTTTCTATTGCCTAAGATTTTTAAGGTGTTTACTTTTACAGATGGCTGCATTAAAAGGAATTTCAACCACAACAAAAATAATCTAAAACCTTAGTTCTCAAATTACCCTTTTGATCCTTTTGCTCATATAGTAAAGCAACCTCCAATTGTTCAGATATATTGAAAGGCCTATTGTGAGTACAAAACGTTAAATCATCTGCATCCACTTGATCAGAATCTACTGAGCCTTAGAGTCTGAGGTAAAGAGATTCCACAATTTGTCCTGTAGCAGAAAATAAATCCAATTCTTCACTAAGCAGAAATGTAAAGCATTTTATTATCATTATTATTATTTTTTTTTTTTTTTACTAAACCGGAAAGTGTGTTGCGTTATCTAAATCTGACTATATGATTAGATTGTAAATTATCTATGAGGTTTGATTTCAGGTTTGATATTAGAGTAAATACTGTATAACTCACATAATTTGGACCGATGTGTCTGGTGAGTGGTAAATGTTATGTGGATATATTGGGGACTTGCCACTAAACCCTCTTTAATTTACCCTACTGTTATTCTGGGTATTTGGGTCATGCTTAAATACTTAAACATTTAGGTTTATAGACACTTTAAATAGGGTTTAATCACTGTCAATTCCATATATTTATTTTTTTTCGTTTCTTTTTTGTTGTTTTTTCTTTTCATTTTTGCTTTATTGTCACACTTGCAGTTTTTAACGTTTTTTTTTTTTTATCATTATGCAAAGATAAATTTGGTAACAGAAAAATAACGGTTTTCAAAAGAGAATAGCTCCTGATTTCCATTAACAAAATAGTCGTTTAATTCTGCAATTCTTTAATTAATAATATATATATGATATATATATATTTGTTGTAAGTCATATAATGACCAAAATGACCTAAATCTACCAGGAGGGCCGTTTCAAAGTTCCCTGTAACATTCAGCTTGTTTAAATCTAAATATTAAAAATGTGATGCATCTTAAACTATACACGATCTCTTCTGCAGTTCTTGTTTATGATAGGCTGGTTTTAAGTCATGTGACTTGGGAAGCCTTTTCATTTTCCAGAATCATTTTTCGCCTTGTCTAGAAAAAATCTCTTTCTTTTACATAAAAATATCATCGGAATGAATTATAAGTTTAACTGCTTATAGAATTTCACACCATTTTTTGATTTTTCCTTTTTATATATTGTTTTTTTTTCTATCACATTTTGAAAGGAAGACCGGACTATCTTTTTTACTGAAGGATTTAGCATTATGGACTGGGTATCTGGCTAGCAAGACAACTGATAACAAATCTGTTTTTGGTGGCCATTTAAAAGGTACAAAATGTAACAATCTATGGGATTGACCTGTCCATTCATTCCTGTTTTCTACTTAAAATACAGGAGTTACATGCTAAGATGATGGAAATACCTGAATGAGCTAAGCAGCCATTCCAAATCACTAATCTTCCTTTATCGCTCTTGTCTTCGCTTATAACATTAAACCGTTAGACCACTCGTTTTAATCCAGAAACTGCATTATTATCTGTTTTATTAAAACAGCACCCTCTTGTGGCCATCTTTCGCTCTTGCAGGATAGGTTTTAGACCCGGAAGTAAACCCTGAGGTCGCCATGGGAGGCAAAGTCAGCTCCAAAATGGCAGCTCCCACCGCCAGAGTAATTCAGGTAAAGTCGCTATAGAAATGTTTCTCATTCTGCCTTTTGTTTTGTTCGTGCTGTTTTAGTAGATGTTTAAAATGAGAAAAATATATTTGGAATAAATGTTACTCAATAAATGGGGGGCTTATGGCTGTATTACCATTGGTACCCTTGTTAATGTCCCTGTTAAATAGAAAAGCTCGGAGTCGTGTCACATATTTGCTGTACTACAACACTAGCTTTCTACTCATTAAGTTGAAATTTGCCACTAGTTATTTGCTTATATAGTAATTAATACTGGTAACTGTTTAACGCCTACCGTTTGAAAATGTGGAATATATAATCTATTGGATTATCCGGCTATCCAAGTTTATATCAGGTATTAATGAGAACTAATTAGTAGATACTTTACAGATTGACTATTCAGTCTTTATTCTTATGAAAATTTTTTTTGTCCAATATGATAATAATTTACCCAAATAATGGCTCAAAATATTTACCCTTAACCGTTACTTGATTTTCACTGATTGATGTGTTTATAGTTCTTTTCTTTATTAGGAATTCTTAACTCAGGAAGTTGGATCTGTCAGTATTTAAGCATTACCTTTTAATCAGTGCATTTCTTGTTTAATTTTATTTGTTTAGTATCAGTAAATATGTTTGACAAGAACTCAAACATATAGCTATGAACTAAGTAGAGGCTTTAAACAGTCTGAAATCCTTGATATGACCAGGGAATTTAAATAAAAGCTTGATTTATATAAGAATGGAAAGTATGTATATTGAAAAGGCTCTATATTCCCATATTTCATTCCTTAAAGCCTTGTGTAAATGTTATACTTATTCATCTAATGCTTTATCCATTGAGCCATTTTTGGATCAAGCCTTCCATCTATCCATCTCTACTTCTGTACATCCCACTGTTGTCTAATCCTGCTTATCCTTGAAGAGTTGAAAGGGCCTTTTTGCTGTGGAAATACCATATCTCATAATTTTATTGGTAACTGTTGTATGTATACTTAAACGATGATTTGTAAAGGCTGACATTATGTAGATGTCAGTCTATAGAAGTATGATATTTGGACATGAATATGTTTGCTGGCTGTATTTGTAACCTTCTCTGGCCTCTCAGAAATGTTAGAATGAAGAAATAAAGCAATGGCTTTTAGCCATTAGTATTCAAATTGTTTTCATTTATTGGAGTAAATAATTTGTGTTATGCATGAAATTTAGCATGCAAAGTTTAAGAAATATGTTTATTTCCTGTTTTTGTTGTACAGGTGAGCTAAGGAATTAGGAGACCTTGCCTTTTTAACCTTTGTGTGAATTTCTTTAAGAGGTTGAATTAATGTTTTTTTTTTCTTCTTGTGGGTGTTTTCTTTCAGGCTGTACGGCCGCATGCTCCTTTGATCAAATTCCCTAAAAGACAGGACATGCCAAGGCCCAATGGTGAGTCTTTTGGTGAAATAAAATCTAAAGACAGAACCAACTTTGAGCGGAGATTAATGGGACCAAGAGAGTATTTGCAGAAGAAAAGCGTCTTTTCTGATGTGAAATAAATATGAAAACCGTGAGAAATCAGATTTTTTTTTTTTTTCAGTTTGTGCAGAAACGTGCAGAAGCAACCACTCTGTTTTTGAGCTGTTCAATAGTATAGCATGAGCTTTTTTTTATATTTATCCAAAGAAAACGTTTGCAGGTTTAGGGTTGAGAAATGTGTACGAGATATGGTTTTCTTTGAAAAATCACCTTCAGCCTGGAAGAGATTACAACCAAAGCTTTTTTTTTCCTTTTTGTGGTTAGATTTGAAGTTTGTGGTGCAGAAGATGCTCACCAACCTCTATTTGAATCCATTAACAATAGACTTATAATGCTTACAAAATAACTTTGCTTGTAAGATTTCAGGTTAATTAAATAGCTCTAGCTTTAACTAGTAGCAGACGTAATGTAGAACCAGCTTTCAAGTTTGTTGAAAAGAGGTTACTTCTTCTGTGGACATGTAGTAACTGTATGTCCAACTTTAAGGATTTTGTCTCTTATTAATTACTTGACTTATCTGATTTTTTTAAAAAAAGGGCTAACCCAATACCCATAATTTTGCCTCACATGCTTTACTTGATAAAAGAGAATTTTCTCTTGAAAAGCTCTTTGTTGTCTGTGATTCCATATTTTATGATAGTTCTTCATGTTAAGATATATTTTTAAACTATTCTAGTTCAAAATACTAAAAATAAAACAATTTCCTCTGTATCTTCTTTGTCTTTTACCCTTTTTTGTTTCAGTCCAAGAGGCATTGAAATTGATAGGTCTTAATGTTCCAGAACACAATGCTCTGAGTTCGCCTTCGGCTTCTGCATCGCCTGCACCGTCCAGACCTCAAGTACCTTTAAGTCCTGTCCCAGGAACGCCAGACACACTGGCATCTATTCAGCAACTGCCTGCCAGGTACCGCAGGAGACCGTTAACCCTGGAAGAAATTGACTATATTCAGGTGAGCCATGCAGCCTGTCATTCAAGAATGGTAAAATATAACTTTTTTTTTTTTTTTTTTTTAAATCACTATTTCAATTAATTTACTAAGATTTTTGTAATGTTTAGAGTAAACCAGGACACATCCTTTTTTAGCTTTGTACCATCCTACAGGTGCTGGTCATAAAATTAGAATATCATGAAAAAGTAGATTGATTTCAGTAATTCCATTTAAAAAGTGAAACTTGTATATTATATTCATACATTACATACAAACTCATATATTTCAGATGTTTATTTTGTTTAATTTTGATGATTACAAATGACAACAAATGAAAATCTCAAATTCATCATATCAGAAAATTAGAATATTGTGAAAAGGTTCAAAATTGATGGCCCCTGGTGCCACACTCTAATCAGCTAATTAACTCAAACCACCTGCAAAAGCCTTTAAATGGTCTTTCAGTCTAGTTCTATAGGCTACACAATCATGGGGAAGACTGCTGACTTGACAGTTGTCCAAAAGACGACCATCGACACCTTGCACAAGGAGGGCAAGACACAAAAGGTCATCGCTAAAGAGGCTGGCTGTTCACAGAGCTCAGTGTCCAAGCACATTAATAGAGAGGCGAAGGGAAGGAAAAGATGTGGTCGAAAAAAGTGTACAAGCAAGAGAGATAACCGCACCCTGGAGAGGATTGTGAAACAAAACCCATTCAAAAATGTGGGGGAGATTCACAAAGAGTGGACTGCAGCTGGAGTGAGTGCTTCAAGAACCACCACACACAGACGTATGAAAGACATGGGTTTCTGCTGTCGCATTCCTTGTGTCAAGCCACTCTTGAACCACAGACAGCGTCAGAAGCGTCTTGCCTGGGCTAAAGAGAAACAGGACTGGACTGCTGGTGAGTGGTCCAAAGTCATGTTCTCTGATGAAAGTAAATTTTGCATTTCCTTTGGAAATCAAGGTCCCAGAGTCTGGAGGAAAAGAAGAGAGGCACTTCATCCACGTTGCTTGAAGTCCAGTGTAAAGTTTCCACAGTCAGTGATGGTTTGGGGTGCCATGTCATCTGCTGGTGTTGGTCCATTGTGTTTTCTGAGGTCCAGGGTCAACGCAGCCACATACCAGGAAGTTTTAGAGCACTTCATGCTTCCTGCAGCTGACCAACTTTTTGGAGATGCAGATTTCATTTTCCAACAGGACTTGGCACCTGCACACAGTGCCAAAGCCACACCAGTACCTGGTTGAAGGACCATGGTATCCCTGTTCTTAATTGGCCAGCAAACTCTCCTGACCTTAACCCCATAGAAAATCTATGGGGTATTGTGAAGAAGAAGATGCAATACACCAGACCCAACAATTCAGAAGAGCTAAAAGCCACTATTAGAGCAACCTGGGCTATCATAACACCTGAGCAGTGCCACAGACTGATCGACTCCATGCCACGCCGCATTGCTGCAGTAATACAGGCCAAAGGAGGCCCAACTAAATACTGAGTGCTGTACATGCTCATACTTTTCATGTTCATACTTTTCAGTTGGCCAACATTTCTATAAATCCTTTGTTTTTATTGGTCTTCAGTAATATTCTAATTTTCTGATATGATGAATTTGATATTTTCATTTGTTGTCATTTGTAATCATCAAAATTAAACAAAATAAACATCTGAAATATATGAGTTTGTATGTAATGTATGAATATAATATACAAGTTTCACTTTTTAAATGGAATTACTGAAATCAATCTACTTTTTCATGATATTCTAATTTTATGACCAGCACCTGTAGACGCCTTATTGAATGCCACAGAGTTCAAAGGAATATTTAGCATAAAAGTGAAGCCTCCTGCACCCGGAGCAAAGACCTTAAATTGAGTTTCAATATTAGCAGAAAGTCCATGGTCTGTTGTGGCTTTTATAGAGATCTTTTGAGGTGAATTATGATCAGTTGAGTTATCTCACACTTTTATGGAGCATGAGAGAGTTTAAAGCAGGATTGGCCACATGCAGCACATGTTTACAGGTCTTCCCTATTTTATCCATCATCACTTCCACTTTCTCCCACAGTCCAAAGTCATAAACACTTTATTGCTAAAAGTGTACACTTACTCGCCCATATCTTGTCTCTCACATGGCCAGGGTGCTGCAGCTTTTTCTGTTTAGCTCAAATCATATGTTTAAATATCCTACTACCATTATGAAATAAAATATCACAGTATGTATTAATATTGAATTATTGTCTAGCCCAAGTAATGTAAAGAATATAAGATATAGTTTACATTAGAATTAATCAGGAGAAATACTATTTTAGAAAAAATACCTGCTTGACGGTACTTCCAATGGTAAGACAATGCGAGGAGCTTCATTAGACCAGAGCTGCTTCTAACCAACATGGATAAAGGCTGTTTCTCAATTCACAAGAATGTGAGTATGGACTCGTGTCCTCGCCAAGTGTGTTCTTCAGAAGACCACAGGAAAGTCTGGCTTCGGGGAGAACGGGAGCATGCAGCATAAATAGGGGTCAATTGGAACAGAAACATACTCTTGATGTTACCACATGCTTGGCTCGTCTGGATAATAATTAATTCTTATCTTTTTCCATTTAGTGGGTGAATAATAATTAACGCAGTCAAATAAACACAAATCGAATTAACACTAAAACAAAACAAAAAAATTGCCATAAGGGCCAGAGGTCCTTCACACATAGCTATGCCGAGAGAGGGCTGCTGCAGATGGGCTAACGTTAGCCCTGGCTGCGGTTAGCCTCGGAGGCCTGCTGGTTGCCACGGTCCTCTCAACTTCAGAACTTTTTTTTTTTTTATTACGCACTAAATCAGTAAATGAGCCATATAGTGACGCTTAAAGGTATAATTTTCTCACCTTAATTGATCTTAAAAGAGAACATCATGAGAATAAAGTCGTAACATTACGAGAATAAAGTTGTAATATTACGAGAACGAAGTCATCATACCACAACCCGTTTCAGAAAGAACGCTTGGAGCTCCAACCAGCAAATGAAGGCTGACCAGCACCACCAAACAGCAACCTGAGTCCACTTTGACATACTGCCAATTTCCTTTTTCTCAAACTGATGCCAAAGTATAACTTCACATAATGCTCGACAATCCTCATTTTAGTGAAGACAGTGCTTCTTGTAGGAGTCGTCATAAAATACAACTTATTTCTCGTAATTTCAGGACTTTATTCTCTTAACATTACGACTTTATCCTCATAATTTTGACTATTCTCGTTGTGACTTTATTCTCGAAATAGAAGGAAAGAAAAAGCCTGGCCCTAATACTCTGTAGTAGAAAAGAAATTATCTTTTGAATAAAAAAATAAATAAAAAAAGTCCCTCTACTCTGTCGGAGTTAAAGAGATCATCTCTATAACTGCAACAAGAGCCTCGCCACCCACTGCTGACCACTCCATGGGTAGAAATCTGCTAATCAGAAGGTTGTGGGGTTTCAATCCAGCTTCTGTATCTCATGCCGATGTACCCCCCCAGGCAAGGCACTAAATTCCATGCTGTACGACTTAGCAACCATGTCTGTTAGGATTCAGCTCACCTGCAGCCCTGAGTGGGTTATGTGCTCAAAAGTAATGAGTGAATAGCTATTTTTTACTTTTTAGAAATTATTTGAACAGAGTTTTATTTTTTTTTTTCTTTGTAACAGCGTGGTGGACCGGAGTGATCGGAAGCAAGCAAGCAGTCTCTACAGCCAAAGGAAGATCAGTTGGAAGATGAATCTGTGTTTATTCTCCTCATCCCCCATACTTTGAGACTAGTAGAATAAAGTACTACATCCTGTTGCAATGTACATAATGTTTATTTTAAATGATTGCAATGTATTCTAAGATCACAGTAAATTAGTTTCACTGTGATACACAAAAGAAGCCATAGTGGCTTTTAAAAATATTAATTTAACCAAACCTGCAGTGGAAAGAGCTCTTCTTTTGTTTTTCAATGATCACCTTTATTTAATTTAAGGCTTGAACTATATTCCTAAAAAGCAAGCTGGAAGTAAATGGACATAATCTGTTCTGCTATTAAGCAGGGAGAATTCTGGAGAGATGGTTAATAAAAGTACATTTTGAAACCGTTTTGATGTGAAGCGCTGACTTAAACTGAGGAATTTTTGTTTTTATTTTTTGCGTATGAAAATGTTTTAACATGGAGATTCTTAAAGGGCATTTTAGGAAGAGTTGGTTAAAAGAAGAGGCCATTGATGTTGATCAGATGAACAATATTTAATTTCCTCAGGTATTCTATTGTTGATAATGATTCTGGCATGCTTTATATGGTAAAACATTCACAACGTTAATATTCCCACAGCAGTGCGCTAACACCAGCCACCATTAACAATGGCGGTCTCTTAGTACAAACTCCAGCAAGCTGGTCATTACCTGGAGGAATGTTGGCACAATGGGGCTGATGTGATGGTAAGACACTTTTCTAACAGAGTGGCATGTTTTTACCTTCGTCTCCTCACTCAGCCAGTCAAGTTTGGACTAATTTATTTAGCATTCACAAGCCTTTTGGCAAAAGACACCATCTCCTAAACGCATGAATTTAGAATAATTCGTGGTTTTACAAAAAATAAGGTATGTTTTAAAACCCTAATATCAAATTCTACCAATGGACTTTATAAACAAAGAGCAGCATATTCATTTAACACAGCAACAACAAAACGTTCAGTCACAAGTAGCCACAACACGAGAAACACTGAGGAATGAATGGGTTAATCATTATTTACATGTTTGTCTTGTGTGCGTTGCTCACACCATTACTATGATTTTTTTTACTTCTCGGGTGGAACAATTTTGTGCGAGTGTAGGACTCAGCATTGCACTTGAAATGTAGCAGAAGCAATCTGTGCGGTAGGCCGAATGCTGTCAATCTGTCTGCTCTTCTATTTCCTCAAAAGCTGGGAGGAAGTCGGCGATGGTGTCCACCACGTAGTCAGGCACATAGCTGCGGTTGGTGGTCTGCTCACTGTCTCTGTACTCCTGGGCCTCCTCGATCTGAGACACACCGGTAAGGGTGAGCATGGTGTCCAGGCCGCAGTTGAACCCAAACAGCATATCCGTCTCCAGTCGGTCTCCGACCATGAGGCACTGGGCAGGATCCACGCCTCTGAACTGGCTGGAGATGCACTCGAACATGAAGCGGCTCGGCTTGCCGATCACAGTTGCTTTACGGCCTGACGCCACCTCAATGGCAGCGGTGAGGGAACCAGAACCTAAAGAGAGGATAAGATTAAAGGTTGGGGTGTAAAAAACAGAAAGAGGCTTACTGAGATTTATTATGTCTTAGGTATTCATACTTGTCAAGTGATATTCTCAGTATAAATACAGCTGGTAGTTAAGAGAGCATAATTGAATTGTACAAGAGACGGAACTTTAATGAGCTCTAAGCTAAACAGAAAAGTTGTACTATAAAGCAGGGTGGTGGTAACATCATACTGAGGGGTTTGTTGGTTTTTTTCTTGTTGTAATTAAGAAGTTGGGAGTAAAATACAAGGAAATAATTTTAAAGGCTGCAAAAGAAGTGAAAGAAGGGTCAAGGATCAGTCTTCTAACATAATAATGACCCTAAATATAAAACCAGAATCACAGTGGAGACTATTTGGATCAAAGCAGCTGAATGTGTAAGAAGGTCCTTAAACCAGTTTATAATTTTCAGCAAGACTTTAGAAGTGATCTGCAAAGGCGCTCTCCATCCACTTACTAAATGTTCACTATCACTAAATGTGTCAAACTGATAAAGCACTACAAGTACAATTTATTTATTGATGTGTATATATATATATATATATATATATATATATATATATATATATATATATATACACACACACACACACACTTTTAAACCTATTCTTCATTTTAAAACAAATAGAAATGTAAGTATATTAGAAATTGGTGATGACATATCATTTAGGGCTATAACAATCAGATTTATCATGATTAATCAATTATTGAAATAGTCCTCAAATAATTTAGTAATCAATTAATTGTTAACTGCAGTATAGAGACTCTTTAGCTGAAAGAGCAATCTAATTAGAGCAGTATTTATACCAAAATTGTAAAAAAAAAATTACACATTTTGCATTCAAGATAAAAATCTTTTTCATCCATCAACATACTCTATCCAGAACTCCTAAAAAGAAACAGCTTTATTTTCACTTGGTTTAATTTATCAAAAAGTCTTCTTTAAGAAATCTTTGCTATCTGATTATTAATTGAAAAAATAACAGATTAACTGACAATAGATTTGAAAAATAATCATTAATTGCAGCCCTAATATCAATGATAGTAATGAAAAAAATTAGCTTTCCAAAGGTTCCTAGGTCCACATTGATTGTGTAATAACTGCACTGGGGGAATTTGATTCAAAAATACTGTGTAATTGTTTTTATTACAAATACTATGTATGTAATACAAAGGGTTTGTTGCATATTTGAGACAATGGATGTCTAATCTTGTCTTATGCTTTTTTGACATCATCTAAGTTAGTCTATTTAGGTTTTTGATTTCATTCTCTGCCTTTATTGAAGTCATATGACTAAACTGCAGTATTAGTATTAATACTGCAGTGGTAGTGCAGCTGGAATTCATACCAAGTTCAAAGTTGAATTTAATTTGACTGTTTTTGAATTATCAGCTCTAAAAACAAGTAAATTTGAAAAACATTTTCAACCTACAATAATGATCAACTAATTGCATAATACTCTGTCAAGCATTTAGAGAGAATGAAACTTAAGTGTTGATCTGCATGAGCAAAAAATTCATCTTAAACCCACCTGATACTTGTCTGATTGTCTGACCGGACCTTATTTATACCCAAACACATGGCAGATTTCAACATGATGGTGAGCCGTTTAAACACGACACCAATAGCAAAGCAGACCGTGGTACTTTTAACTATTATGTTGTACTGTGTACACTCACCGGCCACTTTATTAGGTACACCTGTCCAACTGCTCGTTAACACTTAATTTCTAGGCAGCCAATCACATGGCGGCAACTCAGTGCATTTAGCCATGTATACATGGTCAAGACAATCTCCTGCAGTTCAAACCGAGCATCAGTATGGGGAAGAAAGGTGATTTGAGTGACTTTGAACGTGGCATGATTGTTGGTGCCAGAAGGGCTGGTTTGAGTATTTCAGAAACTGCTGATCTACTGGGATTTTCACGCACAACCATCTCTAGGGTTTACAGAGACTGGTCCGAAAAAGAAAAACATCCAGTGAGCGGCAGTTCTGTGGGCGAAAATGCCTTGTTGATGCCAGAGGTCAGAGGAGAATGGCCAGACTGGTTCGAGCTGATAGAAGGGCAACAGTGACTCAAATAACCACCCGTTACAACCAAGGTGGGCAGAAGAGCATCTCTGAACGCACAGTACGTCGAACTTTGAGGCAGATGGGCTACAGCAGCAGAAGACCACACCGGGTGCCACTCCTTTCAGCTAAGAACAGAAAACTGAGGCTACAATTTGCACAAGCTCATCGAAATTGGACAATAGAAGATTGGAAAAACGTTGCCTGGTCTGATGAGTCTCGATTTCTGCTGCGACATTCGGATGGTAGGGTCAGAATTTGGCGTCTACAACATGAAAGCATGGATCCATCCTGCCTTCTTAAACGGTTCAGGCTGGTGGTGGTGGTGTCATGGTGTGGGGAATATTTTCTTGGCACTCTTTGGGCCCCTTGGTACCAATTGAGCATCGTTGCAACGCCACAGCCTACCTGAGTATTGCTGCTGACCATGTCCATCCCTTTATGACCTCAATGTACCCAACTTCTGATGGCTACTTTCAGCAGGATAATGCGCCATGTCATAAAGCTGGAATCATCTCAGACTGGTTTCTTGAACATGACAATGAGTTCACTGTACTCAAATGGCCTCCACAGTCACCAGATCTCAATCCAATAGAGCATCTTTGGGATGTGGTGGAACGGGAGATCCGCATCATGGATGTGCAGCCGACAAATCTGCGGCAACTGTGTGATGCCATCATGTCAATATGGACCAAGCTCCCTGAGGAATGCTTCCAGCACCTTGTTGAATCTATGCCACGAAGAATTGAGGCAGTTCTGAAGGCAAAAGGGGGTCCAACCCGTTACTAGCATGGGGTACCTAATAAAGTGGACGGTGAGTGTATAGTCCATTAGACGGTTGGTAAAAAATACACTCGTATAATATGTTTCAAACCACAACAAAGATCTTTAAAAAACGATGTATTTGAGTATTTTACTTTTTACAACATATCTTGGAATTATGGGTAACCCAGAGCGTAGATTAAAACCATAACCGTTACATACAATGTGTTAGTGACGATGGATACCAAAAAGAGGTACTTAAGCAGATTCCCGAAAAGAAAAAGCAAAGAAGAGCTGCTGGAAGAACGGAAAAAACTTCCCAAAATAAATATGTTCTTTCAAAGAACTAAAGAGGGAATAGTGGACGTTGCTGTAGCAGTGAGTAAAGATTGCAACCAGGAGATGAATGCAGAGAGAAACTTAAGGTAGCCCGATAAGACTCATTTTACTGCAGAATATACTCAAGTATATCCGTGTCTAATGGCGGAAAAGAATGATGAAATGATGAAGTGTGTATGTATCGGGCACATTTTGGGTCGGTTGTCTGCGGTGGCAATGGGATGGGGGTGGTGGGGGGTCAGGGGGGTGGTAGAGGGGTGTTGTGCTTCATATGGGGGCCCACCCAGATAATGTTGCTTACGGGCTAATTGTTGTGTCGTTACGCCATTAGTTGGGGACGGTATGATTTAAAGCAGCCCTCGCACGCTGACATTAGGACCGGCCCAGTCCGAGCCTGGCTTTTTATGTGAAAGTGCATATCCTCTTTATTATAATTTTATTAACTATTATGTCTTTAGTGCAGCTACCATAAAAGGGTGAGGAGCAGTTCTATGGGGGCACTGGCCCCTGTCTAGAACTGACCATGGTAAATTACAGTCATGAATAAGCCTGCTGTAACCGGCTCATTCATACATAACCAGTTACTGGCTGTAGCTGGCTAATTCAAACATAACCAGTTACTGGCTGTAACTGGCTAATTCAAACATAACCAGTTACTGGCTGTAACTGGCTCATTCAAACATAACCAGTTACTGGCTGTAACTGGCTAATTCAAACATAACCAGTTACTGGCTGTAACTGGCTCATTCATACATAACCAGTTACTGGCTGTAGCTGGCTAATTCAAACATAACCAGTTACTGGCTGTAACTGGCTAATTCAAACATAACCAGTTACTGGCTGTAACTGGCTCATTCAAACATAACCAGTTACTGGCTGTAACTGGCTAATTCAAACATAACCAGTTACTGGCTGTAACTGGCTCATTCAAACATAACCAGTTACTGGCTGTAACTGGCTCATTCATACATAACCAGTTACTGGCTGTAACTGGCTAATTCAAACATAACCAGTTACTGGCTGTAACTGGCTAATTCAAACATAACCAGTTACTGGCTGTAACTGGCTAATTCAAACATAACCAGTTACTGGCTGTAACTGGCTCATTCATACATAACCAGTTACTGGCTGTAACTGGCTAATTCAAACATAACCAGTTACTGGCTGTAACTGGCTCATTCATACATAACCAGTTACTGGCTGTAACTGGCTCATTCAAACATAACCAGTTACTGGCTGTAACTGGCTCATTCATACATAACCAGTTACTGGCTGTAACTGGCTAATTCAAACATAACCAGTTACTGGCTGTAACTGGCTCATTCATACATAACCAGTTACTGGCTGTAACTGGCTAATTCAAACATAACCAGTTACTGGCTGTAACTGGCTCATTCATACATAACCAGTTACTGGCTGTAACTGGCTAATTCAAACATAACCAGTTACTGGCTGTAACTGGCTAATTCAAACATAACCAGTTACTGGCTGTAACTGGCTCATTCAAACATAACCAGTTACTGGCTGTAACTGGCTCATTCATACATAACCAGTTACTGGCTGTAACTGGCTAATTCAAACATAACCAGTTACTGGCTGTAACTGGCTAATTCAAACATAACCAGTTACTGGCTGTAACTGGCTCATTCATACATAACCAGTTACTGGCTGTAACTGGCTAATTCAAACATAACCAGTTACTGGCTGTAACTGGCTCATTCATACATAACCAGTTACTGGCTGTAACTGGCTAATTCAAACATAACCAGTTACTGGCTGTAACTGGCTAATTCAAACATAACCAGTTACTGGCTGTAACTGGCTCATTCATACATAACCAGTTACTGGCTGTAACTGGCTAATTCAAACATAACCAGTTACTGGCTGTAACTGGCTCACTCATACATAACCAGTTACTGGCTGTAACAGGCTTCAGTAACTCAGTGCATCACTACCATCAGGCTCATCATACCTGGCAGGATCCGCCCACTGGACAGCGGGTGCCAAGGGTCGTTGTCGGTGGCCAGGAACAGACACTCCGGGTCCCTCAGGTAGCAGGAAGCTTTGGCCAGTTTAAGAAAAGTCAGTTTATCGTCGTGTCCCACCAGCACCGCTTTGACGTCCGGAGCCAGGGCGCAGTCATAGATGGTGGCCTCCGGGTCATCTGCCTCCTCCACGCAGGGGATCCCCGCCTCCAGCAGCTCCCTGCGGAGCCCCTCGCAGCCGATGACGAACACCTGACCGCGGACCTTCACCACATCCCTCAGGTAGAGGGCCGAGCAGTAGGAGGAGCTGAAGATCTGCTCCAGCATCACCTCGGTGAAGCCCAGCCTGGTGAACTTGTTCATGTAATTCTCCCGGGGCCTGGTGCTGTTGTTGGTGACGAACACCACGTTTTTCCCGCGGCGGATCAGAGCGTTCACCACCTTCGCCGCGCCGCTGATCGCGTTCTCTCCGTGCCAGATGACCCCATCGCAGTCGAAGAGGAAGAAGTCCTTAGCTTCGAGGAGACCTCGAATTTGCGTACCGCGAATTTTCTGGCAGCCTTTGAAGCCAAAGGCGCCTGCCATCCCGGCGTTTTCCTCCGTCTCCTCCGTCTTTCACCGGCTAGTGGTGCCCCATGATAGAGGCTGCAGCATAACGGGAGAAAAAAACTGCGGGCTTTGAATGCGGCGACAACAAATCAGTGTCAGGAAATCACATTGCAGAGACCTTGCTGCTGTTACACCGACATAGAGAGGCTACATAAACATTGACGTCCAGTCACGCTCGCCAGTCAGGATTGACCAATCACAAAGCGGCATTTTAGCCAATCATATTTGAGTGTGTTAGAAGGCTTAAATCCTTTTAGAATAATATTGCACTCTCATGAATTAAAACTAATAATTTACCTTTTTTTAAATACAGCTGTTTATATTCTTTAGATTTAAGATATTAAATTGTATAACTATACTTATATGTTGTAGCAAAATGTATAGCCGTAACAGTGGGCCGTGGCAATGACGCCACACTTTAATAATAATAATGGTGTAGCCTGCTTTTAAAAATAGTACTGTGGCACTGTCAACAATGAAATGATTATGAAAATAATTATGAAAACAATAAACAAGTTTTAATGCATACAATTTCTTAAGCCACATACCTAACAATGCATTTATTTCATTTATTTATTTATTTTTTTAACCATCATCTCTATGAAGGACCAACTCTGCCATATTTAAAAATAAATACAGAAATACATAAATGCTCAATAAATAAATAAACATACAATTAATTGCCCCCCAAAATACAATAAACAAATAAATGTAGGTAGAAATTAAATCATACAGTGAGAGATAAATGTATAAATTTCTTTTAATAAGCTTTTTCATTTATTCTCCTTTGTAATAATTACCTTATTTATTATTATTATTTATTTATTGTCAGTTATAATCTTCAACTAAATTTATTTATTACTTATTCTTTAAATATTTATTTATGTGCATGTGATTGATGTGATATTTTAGTTTGTTTTATTCTTTGTATTTTTTTTTTACCCTATTTATTTTTGCCTGTCCTTTTTTCTTTTCTATTTTTATGCAAATGAGGAAGGGATGTGTCTTAGGGCGTCATCTTCTGCTCCACTAAGTGGCGCTGTAATGATCTACACAGTGACAGCAGTTGTACAGTGGGGGAAATAAGTATTTGACCCCTTACTGATTTTGCAGGTGTGTGAACCCGCTTAAGATTTGCCAATGACCATGGGGAAAAACAATTGCAGGTGAAGCTTATTTTTAAAAGAGATGTGTTTTATGAGGTATGAAGGGCTGTTTCCTAAAATTAGACACAGAACCAGATTCCATTATAATGAGTAGAAGTGTTTTTCCACTAATATATATATATATTTTTTTTGTCAGACTTGTAAATCATTCAGATAAAGAAAAATATATATATACACCATTAAACAAAGATTACCTGGGTTTATGAATAAATATTTTTTCATAGGGGAGTGGAAGTCAGAAGTATCCAGAATGAGGAAGGCCTCAAAAGTTTATGCTTCCACACAATAGAATGGCAACTTAAATGGTAAGCCATGTTTTTTTTTAAAACAATTACTGCTTGCATCTAAATATATGTTTAACATATTATCTGCAGTGAAAACAGTCAAATTAGATAAAGGGGTAAGGGGGGCACATTAGTTTTTTGATCAAAAAAACAATTAGCTTAATAAAGCAACAATAACCAGTTACATTTTCAGACAAAGAGCACTTTATTGCCTTTGAAGATGAATCATAGCAGTTTTGGTACTGATGCTTATATTTACACATTTACCCAAGTTAACGCTCTTAACTTAGGTCCTTTATAATAAAATAATCTGTGATATAATCTACATCTGAATGAAATTAAAGTGTTTTTTTTTTACAGATAACATTTCACTGATGTTATTTTATGTTTTAGTGTTTAAAGCCAAAGATAACAAAAAAAGATAAGAATTTCAAAGATTCAAAAAGCCACTGTTGTGTTCTCTTATGCAGCATGCATCAAACTCACAAAACCATTGAGCAAATATTGAGATGTTAAACAGCAAGGGTACAAGGGAATATCGTTTCCACAGGGAGATGATCGTTTAGAATGAACTATGAAAAAAAAGAAATATATATATATATATATATATATCTGAAAGAAACATGATATGCAAGAGTTGCCATATATTCATGGCAGGTGTCCTGGCTCTATTGATGCCCTTTATGTTTTTTGTTATACAACAGAAAACAGTTGAAAAATATAGTCTTGATTCTGTCTACATGATTAAAAAAAAAAAATCTAATCACATAGTTTAATTGAACTCAAAGACATTGAATAAAAATAAGAAAATAGTGTTACACAGAAATGTATAGCAGTCACTGTAACACATTTAAAAGGGATTAAAAAGGTGCTGATCTATTCTGTAACTTATAATTATTATTAACATGCTTTAAATTAGTGTTGCTCCGATGGCATTTTGTGGCCCCGATACCTGACTGTGCAGTATTTGCTGATACCATCTGTATGAAATTGATATATACATATATATATATATATATATATATATATATATATATATATATATATATATATATATATATGAAAAACTGCATACTACTTGGATGTAAAATCATTGCCATCATGGCTTTATCAAGCTGCTGCCTTCCTTTGTGAAGCAGGAAAAAGACTAATACAAAGTGAATCCAGTAGAACTTTGTATTAGTTGTAATACTTGAATAAACTTTTGGCTCTTAAAATAGTATTGTGCCCTTTTTGTTGGTATTCGCCAATAACAATACCACCATTTTAGCGCAATATCGGGGGTCCTGCTCGATATTGGTATCGGTGCAATACTACTTTAAAAGATATCTTTAGCCATATAACCTAATCAGTTTCACAAGCCAAAAAAGGGAATATAGTTTCTTGGGCATCAATGAAAAACTGGACTAATTTCCTTTTAATATTAGCTAAACTCTAAAAACACAGGGATTTTCATTAAAGCTTGCGTTCTGGATACACTAAAGTAATGTACACTTTTCATGCAAAGAGAAAATTGCTTCAACATTAAAGGATAAACAATTAAAAATCCAGAGAAGTTGAGAAATATCAGCTGAAGGATAAACTTTCAACAATGTTTTGGAAGGCATGACCAATGGTACACCTAACTACGTAGCCTCTTTAAAGCGGCAATATATTTTTAACAAAAATAAAAAAGATTTTGAGTCTGAAATATAAATGATTCACATTAAGGATATCCCAACTGTTCTAGACAGACAAGCAATTTTAAAATGCATGATTCTAAAACAGGAGTCTTTCTACTACCATACACAGGATGACAATGTTTACATGGACACCAGCTTGAAGCCTCTCATACAGCTATGGCTGGAAACAGAAAATATTCTCTTTGAAATAAACAAAAATAAAAGTAGGAATATCACATGGATTTGTGAGCAATTAACTGCAAAAAAAAGAAAACTATAATCATAATGATCAATGAAAAATTGATGGATGAGGCACATCTATCCAAAAATAACCCGGATAATTAATATTTCAGATTTTGGATTTAAGATAAATATAAACTTAAACATCAGGAGAGCACTTTCCCCCCCCCTAGTATCTGCACCAATGATGGACATAACATTAAACTACAGCTGCTCTATGAATATCCTAGTTTCTCTTCAACTAACTGATAGAAGAACAAAACAATGGCTGGTTAACTAAATATGGTCTGATGGAACTTGATGATTTAGTGTCTATGTAATATAATTTCAACAGTCACAGACTATGTGGAATAAAGTGAGATCTGTACAATTACTTTTTTGGTTTGCTGACATCTAGCGACACAGTTGTTGTGAAGTTGATCAAAACTTGGACACAGCTAAAGGTTGCTACTTGACACTGTGGCAAATTACAATCAGACTGGGCCAACTACAGAATTCTGGATTGTCAAGTCTCAAATCCATGAACAAATAACCTCATTAACATCAACCTGAACCTTAAATTTCACCTCAAGATTTGGTGTTAATGCCTTGGATTTCCATTTGATATGAACTAAGTAGGGTTAGTTTACAAATTAAGATGATTTTCAGTTGCCTTGGGTATGCTGGTTTTCTTTCACGATTATTTACTCTCCATTTGAGAACATACGAAAATTTATAACTACAAGGAGCTACCACTTAAAATACAACTGAAAGGGAACGGATGAAAGGGTCATATTTGCCCTTTAAAATAGGATGCTCTGCTGAATTTCCAAAGTAATTTTCCCAAACTTTTTATCTTTCACCAAACAAAAGCTGAATAACAATTTAGAACCTTATTTTATGATATTAAGGTTTCTTCTTGGTCCCATTTCTACAACTATAAAAACACAAAGTGGCGTAATGCATTTGAAATGAAAATAAAACATAAGCTGTAGTGAATTTACATGAAACAGAGACCTTACATATAAAACAAAAAAAAACTGAACAAAGCACAAAAATTAATAGTGCATCTTTTACACATCTTAAGTCCAGTATGATCTGTAAGTCCACACAGTGCATTTTGGACATTTGCGCTCCATACACGGAGGATGATCTTAATATTCGAAAAACATTTAATACCCATAATCATCTCAACAATGCACAGCACAGCTTTGAAAGAAGACACTGGCCTGAAGTTAGTAAACTCTACTGGTCATGGAAGACAAAAAACGAAAGCTCTCAATAGAAACAACAATTTGCTCAATCATTGACATGAGTTCATAAATTATAATGTTCTAGCTTATTTTAGTGTATATCTGACAGGTTCAACCCCAACACATGTCCAGAACACAACAGAAAACACCACTTCTTTATAAGTGCACCTTAGTTTAAACAGTAATTTAAAAAACTTTAAAATGGAAGCCACTTAAGTATTATTGTTTAATGTTAAAGTAATCTGACATATACTTTTTCAGTAACCCATTTTATGACAGCAGAAACCCAACAGAGAGAAGTACTCTACATTGAGATAACGATAAAGAAAAAGATTTGCTTAAACCAAAGCACTTTATCAAAGCAACATAGTGTTTCTCCAGTATCATACTACTACTGCAAAAAAAAACAAAATTAAACATCTTCACCAAGGGTTATAAAAAATGCAGAGGGCTGCATACTGTGATGAATATTACATTTTGTTCTGACACATGTAATCATGAAGTTGCAGCAATAGTGAGCTCCCTTGATGCGTCTCATCAGATTAGCGGTACTTACTACTAAGCTACAACTCCAGACACAGTAAAGACAATTACCAATTTAGGATGAGTCCATAAGCTAACTGACGAGACAAAACATGTACATCTAGGATAAGATAAGGCCATAATTGGTTCCGTTTTTTTGGCATTTATTTAAAAATCAAACCACAATATGTAGTTTTGCTGTACTGTGTTTAGATTCGAACATTTTAGCTTACTTATTCCAGGGATTGTTTGTGTATGCATGCTTTTCTCATAATGTAATATTCATGCATTCACAGAAAAAGACTGAACCCTGAATTACTTTTGTTATAGTGTTTAAAACCTATGTTTCTTGAGCTCTTGGAGGATTTCAAACTTGTTTTCATTCCCAGTTTTTAGGAGGACTGCAAGTAAAAGCTTACATAAAAAAAAAAAATTTTGAGATACTGGCCATATCGTAAAATAATTTAATAACTCTGTTTTTTTCATAGGGGCAGACACATTGTATAAGCAAAGAGATAAAATGAAAACTGTAGAAATTTGTTCAAAGAATACTTTTTCTTATGTACATTTGATCTATACTCCACCAAAGGAAAGACATCTTTTATAAAAAAAAAAAAACTTGTCCACCCCTTTTTTTTTTTTACCTTAAAGGTATAGTGGAGGATGTTCTTTTTATGGGTGGGTCCCTAAATGAAGTGCTTCACCTAATTGTTATTCATTCTGGTGATACATTTCTGTGCATGCACGCTTTCAGGCGTATATCTATGGTGAGCTACGGTTTCAGACGGTCACTGAAGCTCACCTCTCTCACTGCGGTACTTTGAAAATGGCAGAGGGTGGTAAGAGAAAAAGTGTCTACGAAGTTTATAAGAAGGAGAGAAAAGCCTCAGAAGAGAGCAACAACACCAGGGTGTTTTTGGGTGGTTCTTTTACATGATAACGTACACTGAAAGTGCATGTCGGGCTTCCCACTGATGCCTCGGTTGCGAAGTTTCTACTGAACAGCTTAAGTTTGGCATGCTCTTTGGAGAAACCTATTTCACATCACCGCTACTACAACGAGGAGAAATGGGCTCATGCATGCTCTTGCACAGGTTTAATAGGCGTTCCCTCTCGGGAGCACACACATGGCTGTGCATGTGGAGAGGGCAGTTTTTAAAAGAAAATTCTGGACAATCCTCCCCTATACCTTTAATGATTTTTCAATTGCAGGACTACATTGTAAGGGAGGATTCTTCCTTGCATGTTGATTTGAGGCACAAGTAACAGAAAAAGGGTAAGGTTATTCTGTCCAACCATGAAATGTCACGGTTTTGCAGATGACAGCAGGTTGGTGAACCAGGCTGCTGCCGATGATGATGCTTGTCTTTCTTCTTTATGCTCCTCTCCATCAGGCAGGAGGAACTGTGAGGAAGATACAGAGGTGGGTGAACCCAGCGAGTGGGTGGGGCTCATCTTTTCATCAGCCTCTCTTGGAGAGTCTAAAAGCCAGGAACTCTGTGGCTTGTAGCCTCCAGAGCTAAGAGCCTGTGGCTCTTCAAGAGGCTCAGAGGAGGCTGAGGCTACTGGATGCATCTGTGGCTGGTAACCCCCTCCTCTGTCCCCGCTGCTTACAGGGAGACCGTGGTGCGGCTGGAAGACCTCAGACGGGCTTTGAGAGTCCGAAGGGAAGACCAAAGAAGAGCAGGATGTCTGAATACCTGTGTAGGTCACATCAGTGTTTGCTGAATCTACAGAAGATGAGGAGGAAACCGAGGAGTCTGGAAAGCGAGGTCTTATGGGGCGCTCATCAACCACTTGGTTGTAGTAACGCAACGACTGCGGCTCATCTGTGTCTACTGGCTCATCACCAATTCCGTCCCCTGCATCAATCTCTTCTTCCTCTGCAATGGCAATTAGGGCATCTTTAATTAAATCTCGCTCAGGTTTCTCTATGATGTTGACCATACTATGGGGAGCTGGCTTCAAGTCCAATGGCCCCTGAAACAGACAGAAATTAAAGAATACAGGGTTAATTTTGAATGCGTTTACTAATTATCCAGCACAGAGATGGTGATTGTTTATTTCTAGATGGAAAACTGGAGTAAATTAAGCTGAAACTGTACCCGTGTCCTGGACCAATCACCCGGGAGCTTGGGCTCAGGTATGTCTGGATAGAAGGCCTTTTTAACCCTGAAACAATCACAATGTCTCTTGTTACACCCAGAGTTAAGGACATTGTTTTTTTCAGCGTGGGCAGAGCTTTAAGATTCTAAGAAGTTTGGCTTTGGTCTTAGTTGATTATTCCTCTGAAGACCAAAACATTCTTACCATCCTCTTTTTTTGTAGCAGAAGTAGGCAGCCGTCACCAGTAACAGGGTTACCATTCCCAAAGAGGCCAGAATTTCCAGAATCAGTCCATCTCCTGTTAGAAAATATATATATTAAACAGGTCTAAGGCAAAGAATGAAAATTTGACTAAATAAAAGCACATTCTGTAAAACAAGTGTTCACAAAAACATATTAGTTGTGTTTCAATAATAAGTAATAATTTGCATACCACATTCCTTCATTGATATGGCAGCAGTTCCACCTGTATCTTCGCCTGCAGACGTGTAGGCCTTCACAGTAAACTTATGGGTGCTTCCAGACAGACCCTTTACAGTGTATGTTCCTGTTCCTATGTTCAGATTTGCTAAAATGAAAGATTTCAAACAGAAAAGCAGGGACAAGATTAAGAACAGAAACAGAATAAAGTGATCGACTTTAACTTTAAGATAACAAAAAAAAAAACATTGTGTGTTTTGAGAAAATGACTAATGCATTAAGAATGCATGTGACAGCCTTTTTATTAGACTCAAATTAGAAAAGAAAACCAAAACTAAAATGAATAGAAGTAAAGGAAGGACAAAAGAATCAAAGAAAAGAGAACAAAGAAAACAAAGATTAAAAACAAAACAGATGGATCATTTAGACCATGAAATGTACAAAGAATTGTACAAATTCTTTGTACTGTTTGTGGAGCACACAGCTTAAGCAGAGGGAGAGTTTTTTAGGCAACATTTTCACTGTTACAAGGCTTTAAAAAAATAAAGATAATGATGGATTAAAAATATTTCAACAATGGAAAATATAACATACAGGCAACGTTTTTTAGGCCGTTTTTCTTTATGAGTTTTACAACTTAAAAGTAGACCATTAAAGGACAACTCACCCCAAAATCAACTTCTGTTTTACTAATAATCTGTATACATGGATGTCCTATAGTCCCAATACATGTCTTGGGCATTATCTTTCATGCACATTTGTTACAAACCTTCTTTCATGCCTGATATGGTCTGTTTGTCACCCCCCTTAGGTAAATGGTTGTACAGCATCTGAATTTGAAGTAATATTAATGTTGGCTCTACCATAATTGCGAAAACAGCTAGAAAACGTAACGTTTCAATATTCTGGGCGATGCTAGGTGGGAGTGTACAGCATAGAGAGCAAGTTTACAACACCACACAACATGTAGAAGTAGAAAACATGGCTGCTTCCAACAGTTTTAAAGTCTCTTCCTGTCATCCAAGAGTGACAGTGATTTGTTTTTACTGTCAGTGTTTTTATTTGCAAACTCTTGCCAGTATGAGGTGTCGCTCGTCCACCATGTTTATCAACACACAGCTTTCAGCAGGTTTACTTCTTTATTTTCTTAATTTGAATATCAAGCTGGTAAAAAAAAATACAGAAATATTTTGGCACATTTATTTAAAAAAGGGTCAAATTTACCTTTCAGTAATTGGACCTTGACTATTTGTTTCATGTGAAGAAGAAAAAAAATACAGAACATAGGTTCTGAATACTTTTTTCTTGCTTATCTATACTAGGGGAAAAATACCTATATCCATCGCCTGTTCAAGTAAAACTCTTTTTATAGCTTTTGTAAAACAAATGATTGTTTCATACAGATTTTTCTTCATGACACACTTTACTTTGATAGATCGATTTACAAAATTTACCAAGAAGTATGAGCTGAGAACCGTTGCTGATGTAAACATTGTACCCCTGGAGGAATCCTCTCCTGTTAGCCAATGGAATCTCATCCCAGGTAAGGACGACATCACAGTCCTGCTGAGTAGTCTCCAGATTGACAGAGCTGGACGGGACTGAAGTGGTGACAACCAACAGAGGTTAGTAGATAAAAATAACAATAATAAGATAGTAGATAAAAGCAGATAGATTGAAGTCATTGCTTTATTTTCTGCATCTAGCAGGTTTTACCCAGCTCCTGCATGTATCCTATCCAGCGCCGCATGAGTACAGGGAAATCTGACGGGCAGCTGTAGAGGGAAAAGTTGTACCTCACACCAGGCTGGAAGTTGGCTGATTAAGAAAAGAAAAAAAGGACTTCACTTTAAGATTATACAACCTATGTGTTGTACAATGTGTTATACAACAAACCTGAATATTCTACCCAAATCCTACAGCAAAAACATATTTACATTTCTTTAAATCTATGTTCACAAGGCCTGAATACCAAGCGTACCAGACTGAATAGAGACGTTAGTCTTTCCAGCGTCCAGTCTGATCCAGTCCACAGGGCAGTCATGCATACAAAAGGCATCACACCACTCGACCAAATAACTGCATGTGCTGTTGCTGTTGTGCTGCCAGCTCAAAGGGAAACCACTGCTTGTATAGACAGTCTTTTCCAAAGCGGAGGGCTCCTCACCTGAAAATGAGAAACCATGCTCTTAGCCATACAGAGAACTAGAGATCAGTGCATATTCAGGAAGTTGTTAATGTATAGTTGTTTAGAAACATGAAAATATTATATTAATTTGTGTATTTTGTGTTTTCATCTTCAAAGCAGTACCGGTAGTTAAATGTTGAATTAAAAGGGAACTGTTTTTTTTTCTATATTGCTTTATTAAATGAAATTAGAAATGAATAGCTTTACCCAAATTTGGGTCAAAATATTGGTAAAAAAAACTTGCTTTATAAAATTATTACTTTGGGGCGTATTATTCATTCTCTTGATTTTTTTTTTTTTTTAGCAAAAATTAAAAGAAAAAATATCAGGTAAGGGTTTGTTATTCTGTTCATATGGTTTAAAGAATCGAAATTTTTTTTTTTTTTTTTTCTGATTTCTAACAAAAAACCTGAGTGTACACTGCCCATTAACATTTCTCCACTGTAGATTTATGAGGGAATCCCCTTTGTCCCTTTTTTTGCAGATAGCTTATTAAAACAAACAGGCATGTTTGACAGAATACTCCCGAAAATTCAGTGTATCTATGCATACCTGTCAATCGCAATGGTACGTTTGAAGGCTGAGACACCCCTCCCACGGCTTTCACAGTCACTGTTGCATTGAGTTTGTTATCACCGCTGAATGAAGCCCATCGTGTGAGGTTAACTGACAAAAAGTTATTTCCTGCAGATAAAAACTTCACACTTGGTTCATTTTCTCCAGGGCTCCAAAAGGTAACCTGGTATCCTTTGATTTGACCGCGGCTCTGCCACCTTGTCAGAGGCTAAAACAAGAAGGAGCAGAATGAGAGGGATTACTTTTATTGTGAAGTTTGAAAATAAGTGTAACTTATTTTTATGAGAGAATACAAATGTAGAAATTTGGGGTAACAGCTATATTACCTAAATGTAATAACTAAACATTCAAACTACAAAAAAAAATATAAATACATTTTTAAGAAAATAAGCCACACCTTCCAAATAATTTGTCCACTGTCTCTGTTCACCCAGAGCCACACATCAGGGGAATCTGGAACTAGAAACAGGGAGGGAGAAAAAGGTCAACCATTACTTATAAATCAAAGTCACTATAATTTTTGCCCAAAAAAAAAATGTAAGCTTTAAACTCTTTACCATAGGGTTTGGTTTTAAAGGTAACTGCTTTGCTCCAGCTTCCCCACTTCCAGAAATGCTTCTGGGATCCACAGCGGACTTTAACTCTGTATTCCTCATCAAAGTGGAGATCCAGCAGAACCACAGAGTGCAAACCCTTACCTGAGAAATTTCTAAGCTATACGAGTAAAAAAAAAAAATTGTATTACTTAAGAAAAAAACATGCAAGTTACATTTTCATGTTATGAAGTCAAGCTAGTTATTTTGACTTAAACTTGGCAATTCCCAACCTTGAAACATAACCCCAGTCCTTTTTATCTTAATGAATCTTAATATCAATTTTAGGTTAAACAAAAAAGCAGAATGTTGCTCATACCTCAGAGCTAGCTTCTTACTAAAACACAACAATATGAATTATTAGCCATATGTCATTTTTCAATCCAGATGTTTGGGTTACCGTACTCAAAATTAATGCAGATGTGTTTTCTGAGTGTTTCTGATACAATTAATGGGTTTCCCTTCCTAATCGTTTTCAATTAAAAGTTTCAAACAATAATGAAACCTCTTGAATAATTTATCAAATATACCTAGAACACACGTTTCTCCATATTACCTTAAACAACAACAAGCAATTTTTAGCAGCATAATTTTGTTGAGGATTCCCATTTAATGTCTTGATGTGTTGTCATAAAGTAATAACATCCATATTTGCCTAAATGAACAATAAAAAAAAAAATAAAATAGAGCCCAATTTATTTTCGCATTATAACATTAAAACTTAGAAAAGCACTCAAGAGAGAGCAGACCTCTGCCAGTCACCAACATTCTGACTTAAACCTATAGCTCGAACTCACACATGATTTCATGACCAAATTTTAATGACTAAATTTTTGTTGGTTACTTTTAATTTTTAAGGGACACCTCAGATAAAAACTTCAATAAAATCCCTCCATAACTTTTTCATGTTATGCTGTACACACTCTATTAAGTCCCTGAAAAACCTTCTTCAAATCACCTACCGTTGTATTACTGCTCACTAGTTCAACCTGGCAGACAAGCTCGTGGTTGGAATAGTCGTATTTCCACTTCCAATGCACAGTCACATTAAAGATTTGAACAACAGCAGTCAGGTTAACTGGTTCTACGGGGCACACTGTGGGGCAAGAGCAAAGAAATAAAGAACAAAATTTAAAAAACAAGCTGACATAAGGAAAAGTCTTTGGTAGAGACTCAGGATTTATATTTGTAATTTCTTATACCCTTTTTTTTAAATACAACTAATATGACCTTTATAAAATGAGAGCTGAAAGAGCTGATGATCAGCAAAAGTCAACGTACCTCTGTGATCAAGTTCCGCTGAGTCAGTCAGAGTGTACTGACCAAGAGGATTAACAGCCACCAGAGTCCAGCTACCGTCCCACTGAGGTGTCCCACAGCTCTTCTGAGGACAGTACCTACAGACAGCAAGTATCATAATACATCATAATAATATTTTCAAAGTCATATATTCCAAATCAGAATAAACTTTAATCAGCCAGGGTTGTGTGCATAAACAAGGAATAACTTCCGTTTTCCATCTCTTACATAATAGACCAACAGTCCAAACACCAACCACAATATGTAACCCACAACATGTCGACCATATTCATATTATTACCAACATTTCAGTCATTTTGATTACATTTATTTTTTATAAAAAAAAATAAAATAAAAAAAAGTAGGATTAATTGTCCCCAATTTTGAACTAATAAAATGCTAAAAATAGCTTTGGGTTGGACAATGTGGCAAAGTTTTTTTTATCTTAATCAACCTGGATATCCTCTATTTAAAAATTCCAATAACTGTGATGGTATAGGGGTAAAGAACAGCCTGTTAACTATGATGCATGTCTTGTCAAAAAGGTCCTAACAGTCAGGGTTCTCAGCTTAGAGCCAGATTATCCTACCTGATGCATTAAAGCAGTGCCTGCACATGTTCATTAACATGGGATTGAACCTTGTTTGACATCTGAACAGAACTTGCTTTAAGATCCACAGGTTCCAGGTTCAAACCCTGATCTTAGATGGCCAATGAACCATAAACAGCAAAAAAATTAACCATTTGGAATTTATTCATACTAATTATCCAAGTGTTGCTGCCAGTATCTCAAAAACCAAAGCTTAAGATGTGATGTGGACAATCACAGAAAAAAGGACTTCATCTGGATGCCATTAATGCAAAAAGCCTTCATCAATCATTCAGATTTGGATTAAATAGATACAAACCTTCATAGGATGACAAACACTTAATTTGGCAAGCTTTTAGATGAACTCTATTAAAAGTCGTAATTACACCAAGCCAACCATTAGGCGGACATGCAATAAAACGGTTACTTAGCCTGAGTGTTTATAGGTTTTTTTCTCTATTTACTCCCCCCCCCCACATAAAAACATTCTTTCTGGAAGAAAGCCAGAAAGAATTGCCAAAAATAGCCTTATCACAGATGGTGACAGAGTCGCTGCCTGATAATGATCATTCCTCTGTCACCAATTCCATTCCCTTTGAATTTAGCGCAGACTGAAATGGCCCAAAATGCCTCTGAATAACAGAAATTCTGGGCTAAATAACATTTCTAAGCAGATATTATAAGGAGTACTTGCAAGCTTGCACAAGTTTGCAAGTACTCAAGCTGACATCTCATGTGTGAGCTGAAATCTCACACCGTTTGTCAGACTGTTTGGCCCCAACTACAAAAACGTGCCAAGTTAAAAAGTAACATTACAGTTAGATCCTTCAATCCTTCCTTTTAACGACTACTATCCTTCCTGTGTTGAGTCATTTTTTAATTTATGTAAATTTTTCTTTCTGTTCAGAAAAATGAAAAGTCTGAAAGATGTTGCTGATAATTTACTGACATTAAACTTTATTCTAAAACTTACAGAAAAAGGGTTAATTTTACATGGTGCATCAATTCTTACAAATATTCTTTCTAAAAAATTATAGCAAGCATTTATTTTTTTTATATTTTAACTAAATAAAATATAGAAAGCATTTATTTTTTATGTAGACATCAATTTTATAGAGGTGTAAGTATTTCATCCTTTGAATTGTTTTGGTGGATTATGTGCTTAATATATTTTTGACAGATTAAAAGACTGTATTCTGTAATTACAATAATTAAAAGCTTGGTACAGCAATATTTCCCATATTATCTAACACCTAAAGTTTGCTGTTTCAACTATCCAACTGGTTCAATTTCCATTTGACAAATGGGGGGGCGTTTTATCACTGCAGCTGCTGCAGTGATCCACGCCGTTTTAAGTCAAGATTCTGTTTTCAAGTATTTGCCGTTGGAGTGACTGCTAGGGGTATAAATAACACCTTTATCAGGATACGGTGTTTTATCTAAGCTTGTCACAGTATTTCCATTCATATCAATTCACAAGTTTAAGATGTGCATGAGGCAATACCATCTGAGTTATTTACACTGATAACAACTCACAAAAAATGAGTTAATCCTGATTGGAAGATGTTATTCCTAAGGTCTAACAGGCATCAGGAATTTTAAATAAAAAACAGAGTTCTTGTAATTATATTTCCTCACCTTTCCTCATGCCTTTTGAACTGTTGAACAGAAGCATATCTTAACTCATTGAGTGCGTACCTGTTGTTTATAGAGTATCGAGTTGTCCTATTGCCATACAGTTTGGTGTCTGGTCCCTCATCCCAGTGACACACAGCTGAGATCAAGTCCTGAGTCTCACAAGATAACTTGCTGGGTCGAGGTGGATCTGAGAATGGGGAGAAGATAAAACGAGATGCTGAATTACATGCAAGGGATGCACAAAGCATGACTTGAAAGGTTTATTATCGAGATTTATTGAAGAAGAAATAACAAATATATGGGGATCACCAAACATATCAAAACCCCTAGTAAAGAATTCTTTTTAAAAAAAGGGAGTACATTTATTTAATGGGAAAACCACACCGCAATTTCAGTTTTTGCATGGACTCATGTACAGTAATTTTTAGGACCAAGTAAATGCTGTATTATTCTTTGGGACAAATCAACACCTACACGGGAGTCTTTGTCAATTCAAATAGCTTGAAGTTGAGCAACCTTTAAACAAAAATGGCTTCCTAAATTTTTGTTGGTTAATTTTAAAACTATGGTAAAAAACTTTAATGTCATGAAATTATACAGGAAGGTACAAAGAATCTATAAAATAACCTATAATGAGATTAACTTTGTTCCAGGTCCTTTAAAAGGACTTTTAAGAGTTCAAAGACTTCTGACAATCAGGAACTGATTCCAGGGGGATGGAGACATCCCTTCATTTCAGATTGGGCCCTCAGGACTAACCATTTGTAAGAAACAATTATTCATCCATTGATATTAATGTTCTCCAAGTCTCCAAATTTTTACCATCCTCCTAACTGGACATACAAAGTTGGATCCTCATCATGCCTACAGCAATCAGTGTTTTAAAAATGTATTCAATTATTCTGTAAGTGTAAACATTGACATGTTTAGGCTAGTAGCCATTATTGGAAGGACTTGACTTACAAAGGTCAACACTAATTTACCTTTATTGGACAGCATGTTCTGTTTTTTTTCTCAAATTTTTAGGAAATGGGCCTATGTGTCATAACCCTGGGAAAAGGGCGTTCAAGACATAATCAAATTAAAGCTTCACACTTTAATCCACACACAAATATATCTTACATCCAACAAAGATGACGGCTCCTGATATTACATTTCTGCTATGTGGAAGACAGAAAACGTTGGTTCCAGACGGCTGAGATGCTTTTTGATTAACAGCTGTGGTGGCGTAACTTCGTCGACTCAAACGTGTCACGTTCATGAGTGTTCCTCCATAGTAGATTTTTTTTAGCTCCATTCCCGCCGCAACAATGCAACAGAAGGTTGTGTTGGACCCTACAGACACAACTTTGCTATGGGGATACATCTGGGCGTCACTGTTGCTGGGGATATCTCTTCCTGCCAAGAGGACGAGAGTAAGAAATAACAACAAAGGGTTAGGAATGGAGGAGAGGATGAAGTTCTTGCCAATTTTGCATTCATACCAAACAACCAGATAAGGGGGCAATTTCACACTGCTCTAATAATTCGGTAAGAATCCTACTTCCTGGCAAAGGACTTTCAACTGACCTTCCAGGATCTGAGGTTCACTCCATTCACTTCTTGCATTTCCTTCCCTTGAGCAGATTTTGACTGATAGTGATGTACACTCCAGAGGTTCCACAGACGTCCAGGTCCATTGGTGCTGACCACCATCCTGGTTCACTACAGCAGAGACCGTGTCCTACAAATAATATATGGGGAACAAAAAGAATAAGAAGACGTCCTATAAACGGTGCATCATCCCCAGTCGGGTGGATGTTAAGGATTTTTACCACTTGCCCGGCTTTCACATTTCATTTGCCCAGAAACAATTTTTACTTGCCTAGTATAATGTTTGATAAACATAGTTCCTAATATTCATTTTTGTATATATATCAATGAAACATGTTTGTTTTTTAAATGTTTTTTGTAATTCAGTAAGTTTACAGGTTCCTGGTGTGTATATGCATGCGTCAGATAATGAACTCAAGCCTACATTACCGTGTTAACATGCTTTTCAATCCTTCCTGCACATTCTTTTCAAACTAAACTTTGCCTTAAACTGTTGTGTGCTTGGAAAAATATAAATTGTAATGTTAAAAATCTTTTAAAAAAAATTGACAGGTTAAAAACTTACACCATTACTATTCACCAATTTAACATGTTTAGCTCTATAACATTTAAATGCACCATTCTAAAGTCTAAGAGAAAACAATTTAATGAACATTTTTTAATGTATGACCACTGAACAGAAGACTGCCATATGATAGAAATATTTACACTGTGTGCATACAATTATTATTATTTTCCTAATCCCTGACTGATCATTTTTAATCTAGTATAGTGTATTATAGTATAGATTAAATTCATCATCCAGCAGAATTCTCTCCCCAAGGAGAGAAAAATCACGCCATCTAGCGGTAAATCACAGCCTTTTCAAGAATGTGTACAAAACAACAAAATTGGTGCCAGCAATGCTTGTGGGTCATTTTCAGCGAATGTCAGTGATTTTAAAGTAATTTTGAGTGATAAATAATTTTTTTTGCAAGCATTGCACTTGCCCGGTGGGCAAATGCAATGAAATTTGTACCCTCCCGAAAATAAAAACTACTTGCCCCGGGCGATCGGGCAATGGTTAACATCGAGCCCTGCCAGTGTATGGTGTAACAAAACTGAAACCAGAAAATTTAAGAAAAAATGTTTAGTATTGTACTAAGGTTCCAACACATTTTCTATTTAAAAATGTGATGCTTTTCAAACTAAAAACAAAACATCACAAGATATTTTCCAGCAGTTTGTACAACAGCTTGACACATGGTTTTTTAAACATTGTTTAATTTGTTTTTTGTTTGTGTGGGGGGCCCTCCCAGGCATGCAGTGCCCTCACATGGTGCGTGATGCGTTTAGGCAGAGGGTCAGCCGTATTTGGCATTTAAAGAGAGCTTAGAGGCTAAAACCGTAGAACAGTGTGCCTTCCAAGCTGCAGAGTTTCATTATGGTCTTAGAATAACAACAAAGGTTCTTAAAGGTTCCAAACTCAAACTATTATCTATTCTTACTTCTTTTCTTTTTGTCACCTAAATTTAATCAGTTTTTGTTAAGTTACTTCAGCATTTTTAAAAATGAGAAGGAAACATAAAAGACATAAAGCAATGTTGGCATCAACCCACAACTGTACAGTACAGTATCCTGACCCTACCCTAAACTCTAAGAAGACACCATTTAAACAACACATGCTAAGATAAATTGTTGTGGAAAAAAAGTACAATTTGAAGAAAAATATTCTTACATAAAAGACGGTTTCATTAAATTCTGTTCTCAAAATGATGATTTCAAAGATAGGGGCCTTTCCTCCAAACCAGGAAATGGATAGTTGCTGAGTGGGATAGTTAGCTGAAAGGCTCACATGCTGGGGTACAGCCAGGACTGGAAAAAGAAATAAAACAAAGTTTAATTTACATATAGAAACAAAGAGCCTTTTTGTTCTCCTTTTTAAATGTACTTGTCATCATCTTGATTTTCTGAAATCTGCAGAATTAGACCTTTACCAGAGATTGTAATCAAGGGTTTTCCTTAAATGGAGATTTCCTCTTACCAGTTTTAGCTTGAGTGTTTTCAGCTGAGATGCCAAGGAGAAGAACGACGACCCAGAAAGGTCTGCAGTCAGACTTGGAGATGGTGCTTTTGAGTAAACAAGCCATAATCGTCCAACGCCTGTTAATGCCGGTCCACTACACTATTGTGACATCAAGCTTAACAACCCAGAGAGCTAACTGAAGGATGAAAGAGACCTGTGGGAGAGAACAGCAGAGAGACATAATTTCAATGAATTCCAAGACAAGAAAAATGATACCCACTGCCAGGCTAAATGTGTTTGTTTAAATGTTTAATTCGCTAATAACAGTGATACATGGTTGGACGGACATGGTTGATAGCGAAATGGCATGAGTTTTTTTGTCGTTACATGAACTTTTACTTTCAGACGTGTTTTTTACCCTGCACACCTGAATGAAATGGATAAACTATCACACTAGCAGCAGTCAAGCTCTGCTAATGAGCCAATACTAGAGTCTGGTGGTTTGAGGCAGGGAAATATTAAGCTGCAAGACACCGGCCCTCAAGGATTTGAGTTTGAGACCCCTAACTTAGGGAGTCATAGGAAAGGAGACTTTTTTTTCTTACAGGTAAAGGGATGCACTGCAAAAACGAGCTAGAAATAAGTACAAAATTTCTTAAATTAAGTGTATTCACCCTTAATTTGAGTAGGTAAATTGGATTATTTGCCAATGGAATGAGTATTTTTACTCTTAAAATAAGATAATTAGATAATATGCACTTGAAATAAGAGAATGCAACTGTGTTTTATTATTTATTATTTTAAGTGTAAATTGTCTTGTTCCATTGGCAAAATGTATCTTTTACCTCCTCACTTCAAGAACAAATGCACTTATTTTAAGAAAAAATGACTTATCTAGATTTGGATTTTTTGCAGTGTGGACATTTTATTTTTTTCCAAAGTCAGAGGAGCTGTAGAGTGGATGTGGAGCACACCCGTTTACCTGGTGACCATGCGAAGAGTACCCCTGACAAGGAGGAGCTTGTTAATTTGACACGAACTACAAAACAAGAAGGGGGAATACTTTTAATCCTAGAAGCATCAGGTTAAGCACAAGATTTTTTGAAAAGCAGAACTGTGCATAATATTGAGCCCCCTTAGATTCATGGTTACAACTCTTGCAATGGCTCGGTCAGCATCAGTTAGCCAACATCATCTTTATCTGCTTCAGGTAAATAAATCTAGTGTTTAGGATGATTAAGCATGATGCCAAAAAACAGGGAGGTACCAACATCAATTCCTATGTTTCTTCCCATATTTGTACAAATAACTTCCCCAAAATGCAATGAGGTTTTCCTTTAGAACCACAAAATGCGGTTCAAAAGAGATGAATACTTTTGCAAGGCAATGTTGAGGAAATCATTATCTAAAAACTACAGCAGGGTTTGTTGTCACATAGATTTCACGGGTTTGATTCGTTCAAGATTTAATTTAGGGAGGAAGCACCATTTGTTAAATTGCTTTCAAATCTCTGCTACTCTCTGTGACTGGATGCCTGCCAAACCCATACATCCGTCTGCCGGGAAAAGGTTTAAATAACCATGGACAAAATAAATAACTGAACACAGTCAGTTGTCACAGTAAACAATGGAAGACAAGTCTGAGAATGCCTTTTTAAGGGGGGGGTTAGGACTTCTTTGCTCTTGTAGACTTTTGACCTGGACCAACCTGCAGTTAAATGCAACCTTGCTAGACAACTCTTTTTAGCAGCCTATGGTTGTATTTAAGTTTTAGTAGTTTATCTTTTAACCTTTTTTCTCATTAACTTGTTTATATCTTATTTCAAAATACTTAGATTTCTTTTTTTTTAACTCATTACATAGACTTTGCCTGGTATAAATTAATGCATGGATTCTCTCCAGGTACTCCGGCTTCCTCCTAGTTTAAAAACATAACTGTTAGGTTAATTGGCATCTGTAAATTCTCCTTAGGTGTGCGTGTGTGCGTGAATGTTTGTTTGTTCTGTTTGTCTCTGTGTTGCCCTGCGATGGACTGGCAACCTGTCCAGTGTGTGCCCCATCTCTCGGCCATACAGCTGGAGATGGGCACCAGTATCCCTTGTGACTAGGGGTGTAAATAATAATCGTTTTGTATCGATGCATCGATCCAAAAGCCGACGATCCAATGCATCGACACGTCCGCAAGTTAATCGATTCATGTTTTTTTTTTCCTCCGGTCTTTTATCCATTTGCTCCTGGGAGTAATTCTCCCTCCCGTGCTGCGGTGGCGCTAAACCTATTTTGCACTCCTATCTCGCTTCATGGTTATACTCTTAGAGCAGTGTGTCGCAGTGAGCTTGACACAGACATTTTTAAATTATGCTCAGTATTGAAGCGTGGTCTGTGATACACACTGTGGGTCTAGATACGGCCGAGGTGGCAAGGAAGTGGGGGCGAGTTTAGTCCGACGACGGAGGGACATGAGGGCCAAAAAGAGCGGAGATCCAGGTGGAAAAAGGGTCCCAGCGTTCTCGTGCACCTCGCTCTTCTAGCGGGTCAAACTTCACGAGTTGTTTTCCACAATTTCGGTCATAAAAACAAAAAAAGCTGGCCTCCTGTCTGTGGCACTGTCTGTGGTCAGATACAATTTGGGAGAGGAGCAGCAGAGCGTCTGTGGAGGGGGCGGGGACGTCGACACTCTGGAGCCGAGGTATTGCATTGCACTCATTGCACTGATTTTCTGCAGTATTTTTTGATGCAACTGTTCTACTTCTGTTATTTGCTGTTGTTTCTAAAGAAAATGCATAAGGATATTACAGCTTTCATTGATTTATTTCAAACTTGAAACTTTGTTTAGCCTGTAAGGTGTAAAAAAAAAAAAAAAAAAAAAAAAAAAAAAAAAAAATTTAATCGATTAATCGAATTGAATCGTGGTGTATTCTTGAGTATTGAAAATAATCGAATCGTTGGGTCAGGAAATCGATACTGAATCGAATCGCCATGATGGATGTGATTTACACCCCTACTTGTGACCCCACTTGGGATAAGTGTGACGAAATTTGGATGAATGGAATAATCAAAAAGATTAACCATAACTAAGAGGTAATGTACGATAATGTCATGCCACATACAACAACACAATCATTATCTACACTTTAGATGACCTGTAAAGCAGCTCCAGTTTTTTTCTTCTTCCACAGGGCATGGCTAAGCTTAACATTTTGTCCAAACAGCCAATTAACAAAAGTGACGGAGAATTTTCAATCAGAAGGTCTTTGAGCACATCTGGATCACCACTGCGGTTTGGTCTCCAGTCATGGCCTTAAAGCAGGCGTATGCAACTTCAATCCTCCAGTACCGCCATCCTGCAGTTTTTAGATGCATTTCTGACTCACAAGGTTTTATTAACTTCACAATAGTTGTACAAAGCCCAGGTAATTAACCATTCATTTCACTCAGGTTTGTTGGAGCAGGTATATATCTAAAGGTTGCAGAACAAAGGCACTGCAAGACTGGAGTTCTACATGCCTGGCCTAAAAGGAACATGCTCTTGGATTTAACCCTGGGAAACCGAGAGCTTGAATTAGGACATATGAGAAAGCATGACATTCTGCCGGTACTTCCTGTCAGTAGAGTTACAAGAAGCAAACTGTTCTGTTCAGTCCTTGAACAAAAATTGGGAACAGCCATGTAAAGTTGTCAGTCTCCTTACAATGGATTCCAAACACTTTATCAGTTTACCCCGCCTTCTATCAACAACAAAAAAGCTGCTCTCGAACCCTTAACAGGCATAAGCCCGGACTCACACAAATGCATACATAAAAGAGAAAGGGAAATTAATTTACCATTAATGCTCTCACTACACACTTTTAAGTACATCTGCTTAATGTTTGGCTGATCCACAGGCAGACTGGTTTGACACGACAGAATTATATAGTTAGCTCAAATATGGCATGGATCCACCCTGCATTATATATATTAGGGCTGCAACTAACGATTATTTTAAAAATCGATGAATCGGCCGATTATTTTTTCGATTAATCGATGAATTGGACAAAAAATATTTTTTATATTAACCTCTTTATTCCAAAATAAACATTTTAGACAGAACAAACAAGCACACAAGTACAGGTTGCTCATTAACTGTACTGGTGCAATATGAAAAATAAATGTTTGTGTTAAAACTACGCAAACTTACATGAGAAATATAGCTGTACATCCACAAAATATAGGGTACTTTGTTTCATAAAGCGCAAAAAAGACAGGTAGTTTTGTTTTTAAAAGCCCCTAAGGGGTTCAAACAATAGGTCCCCCCATTTCAACAAATGAGGTTTTTTTAGACTAGAAGAGTTCTGCCTTTTAAGCTAGGAAAGTATAGCAGTTAAAGTTGCTACTTGAGAAAATACTTAAAGGAATAGTACACCCAAAACATGATTAGCCTTCATTTTCTACTCACCCCCATGCTGAACAACACTCTGGAGTACTTTTTTGATATCTCAAATGCATCTGGAGATCTGGGAGGCTTCTTGCTGTCTGCTGACATTCAAATAATGGAGGTCTATGGTGACCGAGACAGAAAGGTCCATAAAAGTCCACAAAAAACGTGTCAATATTCCTCCATACTGCTTGTCCAATGTATTCCAAGTGTCCTGAGTGGGTAGCATCCAGAATTTACTCGAAACGAAGTCATTTAGAATGTTTTTAGAGCATAAACAGTAATGTATAGGATTTCCTGAAAGCGTGCACATGCGCGATCACAACGCTACGGAAGCCGGCAGACCAAACCAGACGAAAGTGCGCATTCAGCTCGGCAAAGAACTCATGCTCTTCCTCAACACTGAAGTCCTCAGACATTTTTCTTTCGTTGTTTCTTTCTTTGCACAGGTAAACAGCACATTTCTTCTTCTACACTTGCATTATCGGCAGAGCAGACGCTGAATGCGCACTTTCATCTGGTTTGGTCTGCCGGCTTCCGTAGCGTTGTGAACGCGCAGGCGCGCGCTTTCAGGAAATCCTATACACTACTGTTTATGCTCTAAAAACATTCTAAATGACTTCGTTTCGAGTAAATTCTGGATGCTACCCACTCAGGACACTTGGAATACATTGGACGAGCAGTATGGAGGAATATTGACACGTTTTTTGTGGACTTTTATGGACCTTTCTGTCTCGGGCACCATAGACCTCCATTATTTGAATGTCAGCAGACAGCAAGAAGCCTCCCAGATCTCCAGAT